AGCGTGTGTCATCTATTATATTGTCAGGTATCTTATAACTATTACATTCGAAGTTTTTTATTACGTCCAGTACATACTTCAAGCGGTCATTTTTATTGCTATGGTTAAAGGGCAAGCCAAACTTATCACCTAAGCTTAAAAAGTCCATAATGTGTTTAGGGACTTCTTTACTGCTGGTGTTCATGATCCATTTAGTGCGATTTGTATTAAGGAAAGAATTATATACTGTATTTTGTTTTTTCATTAGCCAATTGAATTTGTTATATTATATAAAATATACATATAACATACATATACTTACCATATAACATCTGTTCTATTACATCTATTATCTCTTTGCTAGCATCTATATTCTGTGTTTGTTGAGATCTTTTTTGCTTGACATTAATATTCGATGACTAATCCTCTTATTTATCCTGTAATACACAGAGTTCTAGATCTTTCATAATAGTTATTAAAGACATTGCTATATATGAAAACTCGAACAAAATCGAAAAGAACAGTGAAGTGACTCTATTATAGATCAATACGATAATGGATCAATATAAAATTTATCTTATCTTGTTTGGTAACAAAGTAAACAGTTACGCATATGAGGAAAATAAACATTATAATATTCTTGGATGAAATTACTCGAAATTCAGAAATAGGCCATTGACGCAGAATATTATATAGGAAGACGCAAAGTCTAAACATTCACCTAAGGATTATATTTAACAAAATTAATAAATGATTAAAAATAATATAATATTAATGAAAGATAAAGAGAGAATGAGTTAACTATTCAATATAAATATAATTCTTTTTATATTCTATATAATTATGTAGAATACATATCTTTCCATTAAACATTTTATTAAAATTGCAATTTGCAGTGAGATCAACTTAAAAACCAATTAAATTTTTCATTGCTCCAAATATATTCATATAGAAAAAGATAAAAAAATATTATTTATTATAATCTTCAATTTAAATTGTTATATTTTATATAATTATGTAAAATATATATATGTATTAGCTTTAAACATCATATTAGACTTCGTTGCAAATAAGGTTTTTTATGCGCAAGAAAAACTGGAAAAACGTAGGCTCGAAATTTAGAGAGAACGAATTTAAACAGAACATTATAAAGTAACTCAAGAATACGCAAACACTTATTATTTACCTAAAGATTATAATTAGTAAAATTATTAAATGAGAAATAACATAAATAATATTTATAAGAGATAAAGAATGAATTAATAAACCATTAAATATAAAGTTGTGACAAAAAATCAATGCCATTATGACGATATAATATGAATGCTCTATTTTGTATCACTTAAATAAATTTTTTTTTATTTATTTTGTTATATTCTATAGATTTAATTAGAATAAATGTCTTACCTAAATATTTTATTAGACTTTGTTGTAAATAAGTTTCTCAATACATATGATATGATGCTAGCACAAAAAACACGTAGATTCAACATTCAGATAGAACCAATTTAAGCATAATAACATCATAAAATGATTCAGTAAAACACAAACTCTTATCATTTACCTAAAGATTATATTACTTTTAGCAAAATTATTGAATACTTAAAAAAATATAATATTTATAAGAGATAAAGAATGAGTTAACTAACCATTGAACATAAAACTGTTGTAAAAAGTAAATGTCGTCATGATGAGATGATACCAATACTCTATTATGTATCACGACATCGTTAACACAAGAATATTTAAAAAAGGAAAATATAATTACGTAAATTAAATTATTAAATGCAAAAACATTTTTAAATAACGATTGAATCTGTAAAATAAATTTAATATTTAAATAACAATTAATTAATAAAATGTTATGTTAATTTTTTAATTGTATTAATATTATGTTTTTTAAATAAAGTAATTATATGTTTTGTTGATACTTCAATCATAAGATACTTACATTATATGAGAGAGAATAAAAGTTTTGTATAAAAAATGACATACGAGTAATTTTATTCGGAACATTTTGTTCAATATTTTCCCTAATTCTTTTTGTTATAGGTTTTGTACCTTTTAAACATTTTGCAAATGTCATTTTTTCTTTTAATAATGTAATGTTTGATACATTATCCACCTCCAAGTAAAAAATATCATCTGTATAAGTACACGAAATGAAAATATCAATAAAAAGTAATAGCTATTTCTTAAAAAATTTATTTATTATATATATAATAAAATATTAACTTGCTACTTTCACATATCCTTTAACTTCTATTTCTTGGCCTTTTATAAAATCATTTACACAGTTGTCGAAGTTCGTGATTTGAATTTCTAATTTATAAGTGCCGTCAGTGATTGAGCCATAACCACATACTTCATGATTTGGTGAAAACATATTAAAATTGGTTTTTATAAAACCGCACACAACTAAAAATTAATTAATTTAATTTTTTAATTGAGGCAATTTGTTAATTTAAATATAATTACTTTTTACGATTTTACTTTTATTTATGAAAAAAATACATAAACCTATTTTTTTAAACATTAAAAATTACAAATATTATCTTAAAATTATAATTTCTACTTTCAGAATGTCCAAAGGACACATGGTAATAGATTTTTTTTTAAATTAGTTAACCTAACTTGCTACCAGAAAAAAATTTAATTAATAATTTATATTTGAGAGAGAGTCATACAATTATTTTTAAAAAAATTAAAATGTCCAGAAATATTATTGATACTTACCAATATATGAATTTAGATATTCTGGTATTTTTGTTAAAGTAACTTTTTGAGGTTGTACTGCATTTATGTTTAACTTTATATCAAATGTGCCAAGAATATTAATAATCGTATTAGAACATACGATCAATTCGTACGGTAATGTACCGTGATTAAAATCTGTAATTTTCGGTTTTTTGGCTTTTGCACCATCTATATGTATAATCTATAAAATATAAGAACAATATAAAAATAAATTAAAATATTAAAATTTTATTTAAATACATTTAACTATTTGGATAGTAGGTTGTTTTATTTAATTTGAATTCCGATAATAATTTGTAAATATAAATAATGCATAAGTAAATGTAAACTAAACATAAAAATTATTAATTACCTTATTTGGTTGTATGAAACATTGTATTCGTTCAACTTCGTTATTCCAAGCTACAACTTGTAGCCGATGTTGACTATTATTATTCAACATAAATTTAAGCAGTCGATAATGTTGTGCTTTTCCCACAATTTTTGGGCCTTCAATCTCATCAACGAATCCTACAACTTCCCTATAAAATTAACATATTTTCTTAGTATACTATATATATATATATATATGTATATAATATTTGTATGTGTGTGTGTGTGTGTGTGTGCGCGTGCGTGCGTGCGTGCGTGCGTGCGTGCGTGCGTGCGTGCGTGCGTGCGTGCGTGTGTGTGCGCGTGTGTGTGTATGTGTGTGTAGCACTTGTTATTTTAAATTCGTAATATTTATTAAATTAATATTTTTTTACATAAAGATGTTTTGAATAAGAAAATATGTTAATTTTACAGAGTTAGAAACGTTATCTTAGATATATGTATACACTGAAAAAAAATCTGATAGATTCAACCAGTTGTCTGTTAGAAAATGGACCAATAAGAATTCCTTTAGGATTTACCAGAATTCCTTTAGGATTTACCATAAAAGATATTTCATAACCAGCAGTTTGTTAGACTTCACTACACATCTGGTAAATCCTAAAGGAATTCTGATTCGTCTATTTTCTAACAGATGACTGGTTGAATCTATTAGATTTTTTTCAGTGTATATATGTATATGTAGACACAGGGAGATTAAATAATATCTTATGGATGTAATTAAATGCAAGTGGTAAATAACTCATTAATAGTTAATTGTTAATAAAAACTCATTCAAATAATTCTCTCTATAAAATAACTATTCTAGTTGGTGTCTGTTAATACAATAATTTCATTTCTGCAATAATGTATGATATAGATCGACAATATCATTCATACAGAATTCTCACTTGTTCTTATTGATAAAAATTACTTACTTATCGTGAATTCATGAACTACAATGGTAGAGATGTCTCATCCATGTCATTTAATTCAGTATGAATGATATTGTCGATCTGTATCATACATTAATGCAGAAATGAAATTTACTAATCGTGAGATGCTAGATGTGCTTTTGATTTATGGTAGGTACATGTAGTAAAAATACAACAAGAGCTAAAATTATGTATGCTGAAAAATATCTTGAAATTTTGAAATCAACCATCTCGATGGACATTTCATAGAGTTTATCACTCTCTTGGAGAAATTGATAGTTTCAACTCCAACTCCTTATTACGTTTTATTTTTTTGACTATCTCAAAAATATGATAAAAACAAAAAATTGATACAACTAAAAATTATTCAAATAAATTAGTAGAAAAATAAGACTGCAAAAAATAGGGTGCTTCATTTAAAAAAACCATTTAAATTGATCTTGAAATTTTTAAACGCCTCCACATATTTAAAAAAAATTTATACACTAATGTGATAACCTCCTCAAAATCATACAACTTTTATATGTAACAATTCTTCGTACAATTTATATTTTACAAGTTCTTCGAAATATGAAAGTTCGGTGCCTCACTCTGTATATACAGGGTGATTCAGACCACCCGTACAGCTCTTTTATTTCGGAAATAGAACATTTTAGAGAAAAATGTTTCAGACAAAAGTTGTATGGCTTCGAGGGGGACATAAGATGGTATCATCGGTTTGACCTTGAAGTGTTATTTGAAGGTCACATAAAGGTCACCTTCAATTTCTTAAATGGAACCTACATTTTCTCATTACATATTCCCTTGCCTCTCACGTGTTTCATTAGGCGTGCTGTTAGGGATGAAAGAGAAGCTGACATTCTTGCATCGACAGAATTGAACCCTCATGATTCCTTGAAGCGCCGAGAAATAGATTCTGGCGTCAGTGATACTAGTATCCAGCGAATATTCAGTCAGCATAAGATTCACCCTTACCGAATGTCTCTTCATCAAGCTTTAAATGATGCTGATTTCCAAAGTCGGCTTACATTTTGTAATTGGATAAGAGAACAATCACGTACTTTCCACCAAAATATTTTATTTTCTGACGAATCTACATTCAAAAACGATGGTAATGTCAATACGTGGAACTGTCGTTATTGGTCGCACAATAATCCTCACTGGTTAAGAGAAATTGATCACCAGCATATTTGGAAAGTAAATGTTTGGTGCGGCATTATTGGAAATGAAGTCGTAGGTCCTGTTTTCTTTCATGAAAATTTAAACGGCGCCAAATATGCAGCTTTGATAGAGACACAACTTCCTGAGTTACTAGAAAATCTACCTCTACAATTGCGCCAGGATATGTGGTTCCAACAAGATGGATGCCCGTCACATACATCCAGAGTTGCTCGTGCAGTGATAAATAATATGTTTCCCAATAAGTGGATAGGGAAATATGGTTCAATCGATTTTCCACCTCGATCACCGGACCTCACTGTCCTGGATTATTATTTATGGGGAAGGGTTAAAGACATAGTATACCGTGATCGCCCAACTACAAGGAATGACATGATTAACAGGATAACAGAAGCAATTCAATCTTTAAAGTAGCGATGAAATTCTTCGAGCAACCAATTCTTTTCAAAACAGAGTAGACGTTTGCATTGAAAAGAATGGTGCTCACTTTGAACACTAACTAACTTGAATACAGACACACACACATACACACACACACACGTACGCACACACACACGCACCCACGTGAGAGGCAAGGGGATTACTCACGTTAAACCAACACCCCAAAGGGAACAGAATTCTACTACGTCCACGTCGTTGTTCCTGGATAGCGCTAAAAGTAGGATGATCCGAATTTTTTTAAACATGCATAACTACAGATTTCAGTGAAAAGGTAATTTGACCTTAAAATAATACCTAAGGATTTACTTGACACCATGACATAACAACATACAACATATTTTGTACTTTACGTCAAAGTACTGCAAAGTACTGCTTTGGAGCCTCATAACTCGAAAAGTACTCAATGAAAAAACTTTTGATATTAGTGTTTTGGAAAGCTCTAGAGATAAGCTACAAGAATATGTAATGAGAAAATGTAGGTTCCATTTAAGAAATTGAAGGTGACCTTCATGTGACCTTCAAATAACACTTCAAGGTCAAACCGATGATACCATCTTATGTCCCCCTCGAAGCCATACAACTTTTGTCTGAAACATTTTTCTCTAAAATGTTCTATTTCCGAAATAAAAGGGCTGTACGGATGGTCTGAATCACCCTGTATATAATATAAATTAAAGAATGTAATAATATAAATATAAATTAAAAGTGTGTACACTTACACAATTGAATAAATATAAATTAAAAGTGTGAACACTTACACAGTTGAATCTTCCATTTGTACACTTTCTAACATTTCATCTGTTGCAAAATTAATTGTTTCTCTTTCATCATCCTTGTTAAGGATCGAAACTTCCTGAGGATTTATATGGTTACTTACCATATTAAAAGAATAATTCTCTTTCCCATTGTCAACTTCTAAAATAAATCAATGATATTGATGACACATTACACATTATCGGACATTATAATATATATAACATAATATCAGAAACGAATCACAAAGCCATAATCGCATCTTAAAACATTACTTAAAATGATCTTAAGAAAATAAAATACGACTATGAATGTCAGCAATAATAATAGTAGTATGTATGTCATAATATAAAAAACCGATAATAATAATGTATATTATAATACAAGAAACGATTACGAA